TTTATTATTTATTTGTTTTATTTTTTTTATATATATAATACGATTATTAATTATTTTTTAAGTATATATGTACGTATGGGGTTTTTTAATATGATTTTATCACATTGTGATTATTGCAATGCATGATTGATCACGTGGGTACAAGGCTTTAGCGGACCCCCATATTTGGACGGTTTCTCCTGTTGTGTAACTGTACATGGTGGTGTACGTGATTGCATATATTTTTTATCAACCCAGGAAACCAATAGTATGCCATCTATCGAGACTGCTAAAAATTTCGTATGTAAGTCGTCTTCACTAATTTTCTGTATGTTTTCTAATTTATGAAAAGGAATCCACTCGATAACGTCATCATATCCTGTGGCCTCAAATTGGAATTTTTTAATGTAATCATCGATATCGTTATTTCCACTTGTCCACCCTTGTGTTGTTTTCGCGGGATTGTATATTTGACACCAAGCTGGGGAAGTATTATATCTCTTACATTGCGTGCACTGCCCTTTATTATCATCAAATACCATCATATATTCATGAGTGGATGTATTTTGAGTAAATCCAAATAATTTGCAATTATTAATTGACTATACATGTTTTAGGAGCAAAATATGTAAATAAATTTAAATTAAGTACAGTGTATAACTTAAACTTACATTCTTTAGAAAATCAATAGAATTTATTTGTGAAATATGAAAAGTCTTAAGCATAACAGGATACGCTGGTATACGTGATTGTATGTATTTTCCATTATCTTTAGAAATCAATCGTATACCATCTACCCAGACTGCTAAAAAATTTGCATTCGTGTCTCCTTTACTAATTTTCCGTATGTTTTCTAATTTATCAAAAGGAATCCACTCGATAACGCTATCATAACTTGTAAGAGATTTTTTAATATAATCATCGATATCGTTATTTCCACTTGTCCTCTCTTCTACTATTCTTGCGGGATTACATTTTTGGCACCAGGCTGGAGAAGTGTTGTATTTTCTATATTGCACGCATTTCCGTACTTTTGACTCCTTTTTGATAAGTTTTTAAGTGCAAATAAACTTATCATTATAACCTGCACGCAAAGATAAAATAGTGATTTTTGCCATTGTATTACAAGACGAATCATAATAAAGTTTATGCGTACGTATGATGGTGCACCAGGTGAAACTGGTGAAACTGGTGCACCAGTGAAACAGAGTTATAGATGAAACTAGTAATGCAGTAGAAACTTTAAGTATCGGAACAAGCCGAACGTAACTAAGTTATAACTCATCATAATGTTTCTGTTTTAAATTACGGCATGTTGTAAAATGTAAATATACCGTATTGTAGCAGCATGTCAATATCTGATATAGCTAAGCCAAGTCGAAACTTTATTATGCACCGTAACTAATCTTTTCATATGCCGTGACTTTATAATTTTACAAGAGGGGCATTTGTTATTAAATGGATTATGCACTAGTACATTGTTAGTAAACAAATTATATAGCTATTTACATTATATCTAAAGTGAGTCAATTTACCTAGTTGCGCAAAGCATTTAATTAGCATCAGAGAAGTACTTTTAAAAAGTGAATTTTTAAATAGTCTTAGTTGTTTGAAGAACATTTAATATGTATTGCGCGCAGAACTTTAGCGAAGAACATTGTTGGGTGTGAATATTTTTAAATTGACTTAGTAGTACGAAGACTTTTTCGATAGAATTTCTTGTCTTATATGAATAACTTGTCTTGATTATACACAAACAATATTTGCAAGAATTCTTTTATTTGATTATCTAGTTACGCACCAAATATTTCCCAATGTCAACATACTCCCAAATTGGATCCAGTTTAGGTCCACCATTACGCTTTTTTTAGGTAAAGTTGAAGCGAAAGCCTCCTCTTCAGACTGATTATTATAAATACTATCGTTGTTTTGAGCCGATGTATCATTTTGATAGATGCTAAGAAATAGTATTAATACTATTAGTATGAATTAATTTATATAATTCGATTATAATATTTTTAAGTGTATCCATTATTAAAAGGGTTTCGATAACAAAAATTTTTAATAAAACTGAGGCTAAATTGGGATCCCTGATTTCTCCCCCCAGTTCTGATTAGATATTTGCAAATGCTATCTCTGATTGGACAAAATAGACTACGCCACACTTTGTTTACTAAGATCAGGTGTAACATAAAATTTCAAAAAAAAGTAGAAGTTTTTCAAAAATCGGCAGTAACTTAAAACTTTGATTACAAAACCACCTTTCGTGTTCTAACAAAAAAAATTTCTTGCAAAATTTTAGTATAGAATATGTTTTATTAGACCTTTATACTGCTTCAACGATACTTCTATTATTTGATCGAAAGAAAGGATTTTTCTTCGTCCAATAGGAAGTGGAGAAGAAATTAGTACACCCGGCTAAATTAATTTATTATTTTTATGACATAGTTAATTATAGCTTAAAATGAAATTATGCTTTTAATAATACTATCGTTAACTATAGTTACGAAATTAATTATTATTACGGCACAATGGGATCATATATTTTTTGTTATTACCATATCCGTAACTGGCTATATGCTGTTACTATTGTTTTGGAGAGCGATATGAGTTTACAGGGTGATTTAGCTCCAATAGTGAACTTAAAAAGAATTTATATGTATTGTTCGTTGAAAATTTAGACACGTGAGACTTATTAAATTGGGCCTCGATTTACGTAGATCGAAATCGGGTTATTACTAAATCTGTCTCAGTTTGGATTATGCAAATAATTTAAGGATATACTTAAAGGGTAATCTAGGGCTGACGTGATAGTTTTAAGGTAAATAAGAAACAATAGGCAAGTTCTATACTAAAGAATCGGGCAGATAATCATATGATAATACTATCGTTTGAGTTAATAATGGGAGTTACTTTTAAGATAATAGGTTAACAATTAGATAGCATTTAGACTAATTCTAGGGTACTTAACAATACAAGAAAAGAAAATAAAAAAAATAAATAAAGATAAATTCATTCAACATTCAATAAACAGTTTTTCCAATAAATATGAGAAGTCGATTCTTATTTTACTTCATTAAAGACATCGAAGTCTGAGGAAACTTTTATTAACGAAAAATTGAAGCCTTTAAATACATTTTTCTATCCTATAATCTACTGCGCGAAAACCCTTTACTTTCTTTTAGACCTTGGCAAGGCTTCCCGGCAATGCTCTATGGGTTGTTACAACCCGTGTTGGTTAAGCCTTCTAAACATTGCTCATAATAGTTGTCTTAATATTTACTACAATTCTTGTGCCAAATATTTACTACAACTCTTGTGCCAAATATTTACTACAATTCTTGTGCCAAATATTTACTACAATTACTAGCCTCTCAGATTCACCATGATTCATTATGACTAAATAAACAAACGAAAGAAAAAAAAAAAATAAACAATAAAAAAAAAATATAAAGTAAACGACTGGAACTTCTACGCCTTTCTAAGTCTCATGACGCAAAACCTATAACATCTTCCCCTCTTTAATCTTGAGCTCCTGTGAGAGTTTCGTGAAGGAATTCTGAGAGTTCTTCATTCCTAATCCTTCTAGCTTCCTCCACTAGTTTCTGGAAGTCTTCTTTAGTCATTCTATAAAGAGTGTTAGTGGTTATATGCTAGTTTGCCAAAAGATTATAAAATCCTCGGGCTTGATATAATTGATAAGCTCGAGTGGCTACTCGCCAAACTTCTTTTCCGCTAGTGTCTTCAATTCTTTTCTGGAGCTCGCCTTGAACCACTAAGCTTCAATCGATTCCTTCCGCATACCTAGCAGGTTCTTCCATACAGTCTCCCAAATAATAATAGTGTTGCAGCAGACTTACCTGATCACACCCTTCACTAAGGATCATTTCACATAAGATATCAAGCTTTTTACTCCAGGTTCCTTCAGGTATAGGTTCAGGGAGTCTAGTAGAGATATCAGTACATCTTAAGTCACTCAAGTATCCATTCATTGTCCTTGAGAACGGATTAGTAGTGATATCCTCAGAGAACAAAAGATGAGCAGGCTCTCCTTGAGGGTCTAAGAAGAATATTTCGGTGGCCGTTATATAAACTTCGACCACATCAGTACCCTTTATTATCCATCTTAGTTTCGATACATGGTTTAAAAATTGGGTGTTTACTTCTAATTGATTTATTGTAATAAATTAATAAACCAAGATAATATTCAACCTCAAGGTCAAATGTCAGAGTTTTTATAGAAAACAGATTCTGTTGTTACATGACAGTAACATATTTTTTTAACCGGTTTCCATTAATACGTTTCTTGAGGACCCGTTCGCTTTTAATGGACTTATTGTTTAGTGTAGACTTCATCGTTCTAAGTTTATACAAGCAATTGCCACATACTTCATGGATATAATAAGGACCTGTAAACTTCGGCTCAAGTTTGGTGCTGTAAGAGGTATCTAGAGAGGTCTCATGTAACATCACCTTATTGCCGATTTGGTAAGTCTCAATCTGGTATTTTCGATCATACTGAGCCTTTTGTTTGTTTTGGGCTTTTGTAACATTTTCTTGGGCTTGATTTCGGGCATTTTTTAGGTTCTCTAGGAGAGACTCAATTCTTCAGAAAAGATAATCTTGAGTTTCAGCTTTGGTAGTCAGCTTAGCAGGAAATGTCACCACTACAGTCTTGACTAGTAACATCGCATCACGGCCATAAACCAAAAAGAAAGGCTCATACCGCGTAGTATGATGCTGCATGGTTTGATAAACAAATAAGGCCATTGAAATAAATTCAGTCCACTCTCCATTGTATTGTTCTATACTTTTGGCTAATACTTCATATAAGGTTCTGTTAAACCTTTCTACCAATCCATTGGTTTGAGGATTATAGGCGGTGGATGTTTGACGATGAACTTTTATTTGTTTGCAGATAGCATTAACTAGTTTGTTGCAAAAATGAGTACCTTGATCCGAGAGTAGTTCCTGGGGACTTCCATGGCGGCATATTATTTCATCCAAAAGAAAAGAGGCAACAGATTTAGTATCAGCACTTTTAAGTGCACGTGCCTCTTGCCATTTAGTAAGATAATCCGTGGCCACAACTATGTAGCAATATCCTTCCAATGTTTCAGGGAGTGGTCTCATGATGTCGATACCAACCCGGTCAAAAGGTTGACCTACTTTTATGAGGTGCAGTGGTTCTCGGGTCTTAGGTCTTCCTCGTCTCTGACACATATTGCAAACTTTGATATATTTTTTCATATCATTTCCTATTTGAGGCCAGTAATATCTAACCATTAGTCATTGATAAGTTCCTTCCTTACCAAAATGTCTCGCTAGTGGGTCAAAATATATTGTATATAGTATAGGCTTCGTTTCATGTGGTTTTAAGACCCTTTGAGGTCTTATGGGCTCACGTAGGTTTATTTTATACAATGTGATGACTAGAAAACAGCGACTCAGTCGCTTCACAATCCAAAAACTCGTGTAACCTTGGTAAGTAACCTTTCGAAAGAGGTGTGTTAGATTTGGCTGGTGGTAATTTAAGGCTTCGGTTACTTCTCTCGTTGACTCTAGATCACGTGGACAAGAATAGAATGGACGGCAACTTATAGCTTTTTAGGGTTCAAAGAGTGTATTTAGCGCAATAATATT